AATATTGAATTTGATTTATTAGCTTGGAATTAAAACTAAGATCTTCAAGAAAGATTTTTCATTTTTTTTTTTTTTTTAAATGCAGTTTACTATTTTCAGTTACTGTGATGCCACCTAATGCCATTTCTGTTTAGCTGAGAATTAGGATTATAAATATTTGTCAAATTATCAGTCACATACATTTACAGGGAAACAAGTGGTTTCTTGTCCTGGAGTGAGAACAATCTTCTCAACATATAACAAATAATAGGAATAGCATAATTTTCTTTTAATATATATATATATACTCCTTATTTACTGAAGATGATTATTGTTACTTTTGGTTGGTTTTATTTCAAATTATCATCAGTCATCTTATACAAGAGTGGATTAATAAATCCAAAGCCAGGCACTAGATTCTGATTTGAAACATTCATTATATAATGTTTGATCTAAGCAATTAATAGAGTACATTGAAAAAGATTTTTGTAAAAGAAATGCTTCCCATTATTATGCTATGAAATTATTCATGTAATAGTACAAGCCTTCATTAATGTAGTTATTACCGATATGTCACATGTCCTAAATCTTATCAATCTATTGGATAATATTCTTTAGTTAATTTTCCTATAAAAAGATGGAGAAACCAGTAAGTAAAGCCTATTTTTTCCATGCTCATTTACTAGAGAATTGTTTTTGTTAATATATTATTCATAAGGAAATTGAGTAGCAATAATTCAAATGAACTTGATCTAAATATATCAGTATAAATAAATTTCACAAATAGGTTGAGTTTTGGACAGAGTAACCTCATTTTGGTTTAATTTTTGTGAAATTCTTTATCTCACAGTTCATTTAAAAAAATTTCTTCAAGATAAAAATTGCCTAAAATTATTTTACACATACAATACAGTAATTAATCAGTACCTATTTTTATACACAAGGTGGTGCAGAAAATGTCTCTCTGCAAACCAAAGACCACTTCCATAAAAATCTGATTCCTGATTATATTTTGGGGAGTGGGTTGGCCTAAGTACTTTTCAGCAACACCGTACATATAAAAACATCATAAAACCTATGTTATAATCTTATGTCTATTAGGGTTGAATTATTTAATGATGATAATTTAATTGCTTGTAATAAAAATTGGCAAAAAAGAAATTAATGAAAATTATCAGAATATTATTTAAATTCATTTTGTGTCCAAGATAACTGATGATTCTTAAGTGAGGGTTGAAATTTTTGTGATGAAATAAACAAGGATAACTGAATATAAAAACCAATTAAGGCAGCCTCACTCTACAATGTGGGGAAATGTCCATTCAAAGTTTCTGGACAAGTGTGTACATATAAACTGGTGAGAGAAAAACACCTACATATTTTCATTTTGTATGCAGATCTGTTGTAGCCTTACAAAACTTTATCTGCTCTTGACTATAATTTATGCACATGTCAAAAGATAAGAAATGTCACCTGACAGTTTGGTTAGAAGCATAAAATGTAAGTTGCCTTGCTAGTTGGTGCCAATTCATTAGAATGACTGAATGTTTTTTCTCAACCTCAATTTATCTCAGGAGGCTTATGGATGCATCACTTTGAAATACTGGTTCCTCGTACTATAACTGAAGTTAAGTACCTAGATAGATGTCTGCTTGAGAATACCAGGTGTTGAAAACTTAGAGGTGCAGGTGGTGTAATAATGGGTCGGAATTGTTAATCAGTCAAATTCTAATTCTAGTTAGGTTTGTTGTATTCACTTATGCGCAAAATACCCTTGACAAAGGTATGATTCCACCTTTTCTCTCTTCTCCAGCTATGGATTAATTAGTAAGATTTGTATTACTAAACCATTATCTCCAAAAATAAAATTGGGTACAAAAGATTTTGATTTCGGCATTAAATAACCAATAGATATATTTTCATATGCCCAAACTATTTACTAAATCCAAAGATGGCCTGCAAGGCTTCTTGAGCATTTATAAGTCTGTTTGGTTGCCATGGATTTGAAATTTAAGCATCCATTAATTAAAAAAACAAATTGTTGATTTTGAATTGTCTGTTATATGTTACCAATGCATAGAAGCTGTCATGTTGTTTAAGATGATTCAATAGCATATGTTTCTTCTACAGCCAGTTGGTATTATTAGATTTGGTTGTGGACAAATACACATGCTTGGCTTCTTTTTTTTTTTTTTTTTTTTTTTGTGGAAAGAGTTAACTTATGAAACATTTTGACCATCATGCATAAACATCACATTGATTCAAATGATTTCCATTGGTAGATTTCAGGAATAAATTTCTCATAGGAATTCCTCTTAAAGTTATTACACTATCACATATAATGGTCAACATCATAGGTATATCTTGAAACTGTTTTAGAGTTTCATGACACTCCTCTCCTTTAGAAAATAAATGATTTATTTTTTAAAGAATTGTTTTTGTGGATTATTCAGGGGAATTCAGATTTCATATAGGAGATTATCATAAAAAACTTAGTGATATTTAACCTTATAAAATTTCCTAACATTTTATTAAAAGGAAAAAAATATTTTCTTAGCAAGCAGGTCCATTAAACTGAAAATTGGTATAATACACTTTTTACCCTTTCTACCTATTTAATCTTGTCCTTTTGCTCCGTGCATTCTTCTTAAAAAGAAAAGCATTTGTACCAAAATGAAGAATTGATAGAACCAATTCATTTTTCTACTTCTGATAATTCCATGGTGATACTAATATTGGTTTCCATAGCAACAGTTTTGATAATTTTGTCTGATCAGTCTCTACTGACTTTAGATAATTGCAAATTTTGTCCACATTTTGGAACTGTTGCTTCCTCATGGCGTTTCATGTAATATTTAAAATGGGCATCTGACTGGATGGGTTGTAAAATCAATACATTTCTATTGTTTGCAAATGAAATGGTTTTATTTTATTTTTATTTTTTTGCTGTTGTATCTATTTGTATTAATATTGGATGATTCTGCTGATCTTGCTTGTTGGTTGGTGTTCAAATACAGCCTGGATAATCTTGTAGCCATTCATATAAACATGTTTGTGAACAATTTTTTTATTTTATCCTAGACTGTAGATTGCATTAGAATGACTTTAATTCCTGAAATGATAATGGCTCATTTCAATATAACAGGAAGCCATAGAAGAGATCAAGTAAGGCATTATGGTAATAGCCATAGCAATGAAAACCAGATCACTAGTCTAAGCAGTTTTGGAAAGATGAATCAGCTCAAACTTAAAGATTATGATTTGTGATGGTTCATTATTTACTGGTTATCTATACTATAATTTTATTTTACTTGATTGTATCTAGAAACATTAAGCTTTCCTACTTTGGATCAGTGTGTAAAACTGCTTGATAGAATCTAACTCTGAGTTGGAATCATTTAAACTTTCTTACTTAGAAACCATCATAAAAATATGTGGTATAGATTTTGGGTAGGGAAAGTGAGGGATGATAGTGAAAGAGGGGGGAAAAAGGTAAGAGAATGAAAGGAAAACCAGGTAAAAGGAATTATATAAATGAGGAATTGAAATAAAGCAAATGATAAATTGTAGTGTGTGTGTGTAATATATATATATATATATATAGATAGATACACCTACACCAAAGCCAAACTTTCCCTGACGATCCGTTTAGGTGAAACCTAGGTAGGTTTGTCTGGCTCACTAGGTGTATCTAGGTCTGCTCTATGGTTGTATTGAGCTCTTTTGTTGGTTAGTTGTTACTCGTATCGGGGTTTTTTCTTTGGGCTTCAGACCTGCATCTGTGCGATTTTTTTTTTTTTTTTTTGTCAGCAGAAGTTCATGTTTGTAGCTCTTTCTTTTTTTTAAAACCTTGTTTTCCCTCGAGATTGATTTGATTAGCAAATCAAAAATTCGAGGGTTTTTCGGAAACGAGTCTAGTTATATATATATATATATATATATATATATATATATATATATATATATATAATGGATTTTGTTGCATTGTCACTGGCTCCAGCCCCTCAGGTCCCAATGCCACTTCATAAATTGTATCATTAATTGTTTTATTATAGGAGAGGAACAGACTTGATAACATTGAATCTAGGAGGCAGCAGGATGAAGAACTTCAAGGGAACACATGTCTGCTTGTTGGCTTAGCAACCCTCCACATGTGGCCATAGCCTGTTTATAGGACTTGGGTGTGGAAAGTGTATCTTTGCACTGTTTTGGTCTTTATCCAAAACTTAGAGAAAGGCAATCCATTACTATCAGAATACCACACCCACAAGGTATCCTGGCCAGCCTATGTATTCTGTAACAATTCCTTATTCCTTTGTTTTTTATATTTTATTATATATATATATATATATATATATATATATATATATATATATATATAATAAATCAATCTTAGATGACATTTAAAAAAATACAGATGGACAATGAATGAAGGTATAAGGAAGTAATGAGAAGATATAGATAAAATGAGATACTCTGTCCTGTCTCCCTACCTCTCTCTCTTGAACACCTCTCTTTCTCAAAAATTAAGAAATGAATATAATAAAAACAAAAAAAAAGTAACTACCTATTGACTACTCAAACTAATGAGTTTTTTTTACTGACATGCATTAAAATAAACCTTATAGGGTTGAATTCCCTTTCAGCTAATTTATTTGATATTTAGCTGTTGTCCTTAATTGCAGGCACCATATACATATTTCATGGTTATCGGTGAGATGTGCATCTTGGGAATGAGATCACTGTAACAGCCCATCTTTTTCAGGTTTTGGGGATAATTTATTCTAAAAATTCTGGTAACAAAATATTATGATTGTTAATTGTATTTTTACATACACTACAGAAATGGAAATTACTTACATGCTAGGAGTCTGAGATGTAAATTTAGTATTTTGTTGAAATTTATGATCAATAAAATTAAATTTTTTTTTCTTTCTCAGCTGTGGTTTGCCAAATCATAATTGTTGTTTTACAGCCCCTCTTTTAGCAGTGTATTTAAACAATTTTTTTTTGTTTTTCAGATAAGCTCAATGATTATGAAGAGCTACAACGAGCTGCCAAGGAAAGAGAAGAAATTTGCAGCAAATATGATAGGGTGAGCATTATTCTCATATTTACTAATTACACCATTACAATCCTCTTTTAAATGAGGATGGCCTGTTTGTCTTGAAAATCAGCATTCATATTTGGAGGGGGGGTTATAGCATGAACCACTGACATTGCTGTAATTTTTTTCCTGCTCTATAGCTTAGTTCATAGAAAAGAAATCATGATTTCTTTTCTATTTCCTGACCACTTATTTGTATTTTATTTAAATCTTTACTGGGCTAGGTACATTTTAAGATGCTGCATATGCCAGAAATATTGACATCATGTAACCAAATATATGTAAAAGATTTACAGAAAGATCCTTGACCACTCTGATGGGGAATGTTCTGGAGTAATTGAATGCACTGTCATGGTATATATGTCACTTGACATATACCAAAGTGCAAAATCTAAAGGACAGAAAATGAAATCATAGATGTGAAATACAGAGCAAAGTATTCTTAGTCACAAAAAATAGAAATTCAAACCAAATATATATTATACTAAAATATTGTGCATCAACTACAATCACTTCCAGTCAGCTGGATAGATGTGAAATCCTAATATGACTCAACAAGTGAATATAGCATCTTTAAAAAAAAAATTCTTTCTAACAAGGAAAAAAAAAATCTCTTACTATAATAATATCATAGTAAATCTTCCTTTATACTTATCAGCTTTCAAAGCACAAACTCTGAAATTGTAGCTTGTAGAAAAACCAATATTCAAACAGTTTGAATCTACCAATTTCTGGTCTTCATTCTGCATTCTCTGAAATTTGAATCTCTCTAGAATTCCTTCAAAGGCAAGAAAATCTGAGCTAATGCCAATGAACAGCTTCATAAATATTGGATTTCAAAGAAAAAACCTTTATACTTTCTTGATTTCAAGAGATTTCTAAATAACTATTTCTCCTCCTACATATCTAGAATTTAATATGTACAAGATTTTTCTGGAAATAATCCAACTATTTAATATTAGCCAAAAAAGTATTCTATCTCTAGGGCAATTACACCTTAGTCCCCATTCAAAATATTCTCCTTCAGGCTTCATATAATTATTCCAGTTTCCGTTCTATTTTTCAAAGCCGTCTGCTAAGTACTCTTTAGGGATCACCATCAGCTGCCTTATGTTTCTTAATTTAATATTTCAGATAGTAGTTTGCTGTGTGTGTGTGTGTGCATTTTTTTATGCACCTCTTTCATCATATTTTAGAACATCATTCCTTATCTGATTTTTTTTTTTTTTTTTTAATTTTTTTTTTATTTAAGATTTTCTTTTTATAAAAATTAATTTCTTTTTTTCAAGATTTACTTTTCTTTACTATCTGTAAATTGATATGAGTTCTTTGGAAAGATAGTGAACTGACTTCCTATTATATTTACTATTGTTTTGAGTTCAGTGTTGTCCTTTCCTTAGACTGGCTACCATCCAAAGTTGGGGAGAAGTGTATTTATGCCTTTCCCAAAGCATTAGTGTGAAAGTGAACATAACAGATCAAACTGAAATTTGAACTCTTCTCACCAATTCCATTTTCTGTGCTGATAGCCGGTTGGTTATAAACATTTGTTACTTGCACATCTGCATTCACTTGAATTTTACTTTGTAAATTATCTCTATAGTTGTAGTGAGGGACTTGGTTGTATTGTATCCCTGAGGAAGGTGTTGTGGGTGCGAAAGGAGAGGTGGAAAAAAAAATATGGCATTGCATACTATATCGGCAGAGTAACCTCTTTTGAAACAGGTCCAAATAGATGACAGGTAAGGCTGTTGGAGAGTGAAGAATTTGAAGCATCTGAATAAGTGAATTTTTGGTAAACGGTTCCAGATTGTCTACTGGAAATTCAGTAACAAAAAGGATTTTATAAATTTCTGCTTGTACCACTACCACAACAAAATAAAATTTCATATTAATTATAAGTTTCTACTTAAGAGCACTTACAATTTGTTGCCCTCAATATTTATGTGAAGAAAAGTACATTAAAAATACTTTTTAATGCCTCCAATATCCTAATTGTTCCATATATTATGCTTGTTGTAAAGCTTACTGAATCCACAAATAGAAAAGAAAATGATATAAATAATCTTGATAAAACTAGGCACATAATACTACCTACAAATTCTTCAAATATGCTAAATATTTCATATATAATGCAAAGAAGAAAGCTTATTAAATCTATAGAAAAGAAAATATAATCTTGAGAAAATTAATCACATAATGACCTACAATTAGAAATGATTTATATAAACTTTGTCACTATTTCAAAACAATGATATTTAATCAATGCAAAACCAAATAACATTAAATCGAAAACCAGGAGGGGATGCCAAAAAATGTCCCAAGAAATACTTGAGTGAGTCATTTAGAAATTAAATAATAATAATAAAAAAAAAAAAAAAATTATATGAACATGAAAGAGATCTTTTTCCAAACAATACATTCAATGCATTAGTTGTTAATTGTATTAGATCTGGTTATAATTTTGATTTAAAGAAAAAAAAATAGTTTAAAGTATAAATGTATTAAAAGCACATTAATTTTGGAATCCTCTATGGTAACTTTACATCCAGGATCTTACAACATATTTCTTCCTTTCTTCACAAAACTACTGCTGGTATAATGTGTGCTAATTAAAAACAATTCTTCATTTGGTATTTCATTAATTTAATAAGATTTCTTATGATTATATGTGGACAGCTATCAAGACAGCATGACTTAACATCTCTCCAGAGGTCTTTCAAGCATTTATGGAATTAATGCCATATTGAGTTGTTGTACTCCACTGGCTTTGAGGGAGTCCTACACAACACTAGGCACTTATCCCCTGACTGACATGTTTATACACCTGCCCATGAAACTGACTATTATGTATTTGGGTTGAATTAAGAAAGAATAGAATTTACACTAAGTTGTGCTATATGAATATTGATGCATTTTATAAGAACAGAAATGATTATTTTTGTACTAGCAGATGTTTTCCTCTAGAAGGGATAATGACTTTTACTAATTGTACTTTATTACTAAGCTATTCTGAGTGAATGTTTGTGTAAAAATATTAATAATTAAATATTCTACTATTTTGTCTTCTAAAGTTGCTAAACAATTTGAATAATTTAAGTGACTTTAGTTATTTTTGCATCATGTTGTCCAGAAGGAACTTTTAGATATGGTTTCTCTTGAGAGAAAACACAGATTGGTAGTTATTTATGAGATTAGTTGATAGTAATAGTAAATTAATTTCATTAGTAAATGTCAGTGGATTCTAATGAACAGTCCCACTCTTGTTGATTTGTGTCTGGCTAAACTGTGTGTGCCATCTCCTTTCAGAACATGATCTATCATTGCTCTCCACAGCTTCTTGTATTTTGTTGTTTTTCTAAGTAATACTTGCTTTTTATGACTTTGTCTTTGTGAAACTTTTCCTTCCATCCATTTGTTCAATTTTGTCAAGTAGGTTATTCATTGCTTTCCTCTATTTCTCTTGCTTTGGATCTGTCCTGTTAGTTTTAAATTCACTAAGCCTTCTTTCCTAATTATATTTCACCAAAGTTTTAGCAGTTTCTTTCTGATTGTTACCAACATTTTTTTTTTGTTTCTGTTCTCCTTAAAACTTCCTCATTTGTTACATGCTCTCTCCATAGCATTCTCAATATTTGTCAGAACGATATCACTTTTCTTCATTTGTAACAAAATTGTCCAGCTTTCACTATTTGCTAAGCTAAGCTTAGCAAATAATACTTGCTTTGAAAATTTGCATTTGAAATACCAGCTTTTACCTGAGCTTAAGCATTGACACTTGACACCAATGGGGAACTACAGGCCTAATAAGATTTCAAAAGTTCAGGTTTTGTTTTCACACATGCACGCGTGTGTATGTAGTAATCTGTTTCACATTCCTCACTGCCATGTCTTTGTCCTTGAACCCTACAGCTGGCTTGTTCAAAACATACTCCTCACGTCCATAATCCTTCTCACCCAAAGACAAAATCTGCCAGTTTTTATGTATGCCTCGGTCAGTTATGCTTATTTTTTCATGCCCACCTACAGGCATTTTATTAGTCTTAAGACAATAGGTAATTTACATGACTGTGTATGACACAGGCAATTTTGTACCTCTTTCAGTGGGGAGATAGGCTATATGCATTACTATCTCTCTCTCGTGTATATATATATATATATACACACACACACACACAGTGTATCAAAAATACTTTTACAAACTTTGGGGGCAGGTTTCTGACACCAAAACAAGGTAAAATGTCCATATAAACATATGTCCAGAAGATGATCGTTGTACCTCAACACACCAACTGAAATGTTCAAAATGTCCTCCACTTGCTTCTACACATGCATGCACCCATCAGATCATTGACTCGCTGGCCCTTTCACAATATTGAATGGTTTTGCAGGCCCCCTAAGTTGATGAAGCATCTCTGCATTATTAATGTCTGCTGCATAAACCAATCGTTTTAGGTGGCCTCACAGATAAAAATGCAATTGATGGGGGAACATACAGGTCCTGGAACCAGTCCTCTCCTATCTATCCATCTTTCATAGATGTCAGCCAGTGCATTGTAAATTAAAATGTGCATTGCAACTAAAATGTGCTGGAGCCCCATCATGCATGAATCACATGCGTCATTGTATTAGCAGAGGTACATCCTCTAGTAGGTCTGGAAGTGTGTTCAAAATAAAGTTCATGTAATCAACTCCTGTAAGACGTGCTGGAAGAACACATGGACCTACCAGACAGTCATCTAGAATTCCAGCCCACACATTAATTGTAAACTGATGCTGGTGTCTAGACTGTAATGTACCATGGGGATTCTGATTGACCCACAAATGTTGATTGTGTAAATTTGTTATTCCATCTCTTCTAAATGTTGCCTCATCCATAAAAGATCGGCAGTTTGTGCAATAAATCATCAGCAAAAGTTCTCCATGGAGAGTGATCAGAGGGCAAAAGACCCTGCGCTCATTGCAAATGATACGGATACAGGAGTTGCTCTTGAAGTACCCGCCATGCGGTACTATGAGGTGTACAACATGCTAGAACCACTTGGCATGTGCTGATACATGGATCATCTCTGACAGCTTGTAGAATGTGTTCTTCATGGTTAGGCATATGAATGGCTCTCTGTCTTCCTTGATCCATAATTTATGGTGCCTTGAATCATGTCTCAGCAGAAAAGGTTGGATGACTAGGCTGCCTTCAGTCTGGAAATGCAATCTGATACAGCTATGCTGCCTCACGTCCATTACTGTTCACACAGGTATATGTAAAAATCACATTTGCCTACTCATGTCCTGCTATTGTTAAATGGACCACTTCTCAGTTAACTACTACACACATTCAACATTGAAGACAGACTAGCCACAAATGTACATGAATGACAAATGTAATTTAGTCTACATCGCAACACAGCACCATAATTTAATATCTCAAAAAAAAAGAAGTATTTGTGGACATAGGGACTTTTGTCCTTGTTTTGGTTTGAGGAACCCACCTCTCAAAAGTATTTTTGATAAAAGTATTTTGATATATATATATATATATATATATATATATTGGGATTTTATTTTGTATTCTCAATAAAATCCTTGATAAAGTCCATCAGCTGATAAAATGTGTCAGCTATAAGTTTTCCTTTTGTCTTTATTCATATTATCCTTTTACAGATATATTTTTAGTTATATCTGAAATTTTACGTGTGTGTGTGCATGTGCATGGCACTACACACAGTTTTCCATGCACACCTGTCTGCTAGAAATGGCTAGCCAATCCCTGTAACAGGCATCTAGCCCACCTACAGGTTATTCTGCTATGTTTAGTGGACCTTAGTCACAGTTTCTGAGAGAGAGTACATAATCTGTTATGGTCAACAGTTTACCAATATGGTCAAAGCTTTGGTCATGATGACTTGTGACTTCATGCTAGCTAGTACTACTAATCAGTTCCATCTACAAAATTTCACTTATGGCTTGGTTTAACCTGTGGTATGATTTTCAGACACTTTCCAAAAGTGTTGCACAGTGGGATAATCCAACTAATATCATGAAGCAATCACCTTAAATCAACCAAAGAAAAATTTCAACTTGGCATCTCATGGTCAGAAAGTGAACATTCTAATCCCTCAGCCACATATCCATCATATATAATAACCTTGCATGGATATCTACTTTTAAAAATAGGCTAAAATATTGGCAATTTCAGTGAATAAACATCTTTTTCAAAGAAAGTTTTTTTTTTTTTTTTTTTTTTTTAAGAGAAGTCTATTCATTTACTCTTTTTATCATTTATTTATTATGGTAATTATTTGTTTATAAATTTAGGTTAATTCATATATTTTGCTTAACTTTTATGAAAAAACCTCATTTAAGACTTATTTTATTGCAAATATTTATTACATTATATTTGCTGGGTTATATATTTGGCAAAAATGACAAGGCTTTATTTGTTTATTTGGAAAGCCAAGTTTGAATTCTAGTTGAGTTCATTACCTTCACTTATGTGCTAATACCCGAGGGAAACGTATGAATCCAACCCCCTCCTCTCCACAGTTATGAGTAAATAGGACAGACTGGATTCTATAGCCTTGAGTGGCAACTGGTGTAGGAAAAGGAAAAACTGTATATAGCCTTGGGAACGGATTGTTTGCATTGACTCGATGATCTGACTATGGTTGACTTTTTTTTCTTTTTACATTTTTGAAAGAAGTGTACATATTTTTTTTCAAAATTGTAGGAGAGGCATTTCAAATTCTGACATTTATTTTCTAATGTTTATTTTTACTGTTTTTTTATATATATATATATATATATATATATAAATTATTTTTTATTATTATTATTTAAACAGTACTTATAGTAATGATGATAATTAGCTTTGTATTTAATAATGGTCTGTTTACTTTGTCATCGAGTAACCCTACTCTTCTCTCCAAAGAGTTAATCTCCTGTTAGATCCAACATAACTAGACAGGTTAATCGGTAAGAGCTAGATAAAACCTTAATCAATTAGAGGAACAAACCTCAATGAAAAAACTTTTAGTGGGTAGCAGCTCTCTAGTTGCATAGATAGGCAAGCATCAATAGACATTTACATTGTCTTGATATGCAGTGACCGATGACAGATAAGTGACAGTCAACTACAATGGCGTAGATCAATCAATCCTAGTAAGCTGGATATTACAGATGCTAGTAGGAGTTGCTACCACTAGTACAGTATCATATAATAGCAATTGAAAAACAGCAAAAAAATAAATAAAATCATAAAAGCTTTTTTAATGGAAACAATTTAACTACTAAATATGTTGTGTGATCTAGGCAATATTTAGAAAAGTACATCAAAATTTTTTTCACTCTAATGATTGCATTGACAAGATGGTATGCAAATATTCAGTGAATTGGAACAATGTATGCAAACTCATCACTATCTTTTGTGAGGTTACTCTATACACACCCAAGGGAACATCTGTCCAATCAAATAAATCTGAATGAATGCAAATCCCCATTGTAATATTAATATTTAAATGTGAAATTTAATGATTTAACCACTGAATTTTGTGTATTAGTAAGTTTTAGCACTTGATTTAGGGTATGCATTAAAAAACAAGAAGAAATTGTTAACAGTCAGGAATAAATGCAAACATTAATGACAGTAAGAAGAAATGATATGCATGAAAATTCTAAAAACAAAATTGTGAGTAAATTTCTTGCTATTTACTGGGGGAAGAATAGGATTCATACCTTTCCCAAGGGTATTAGCACATAAGTGAATGTAATGGATTCAAGTGGAATTTGAACTTGGCTCTCTGATTCCTCAGTCTGAGCCGCTATCCATTACTCCACTGTGCCTTGTGGTAAGATTATGAAATTAAAACGGAAAATGTCAAAGGCATTTAGCAGCTGAACAGTTTTTACATTTCATCAAATGTTTCTTTTTTTTTTTTTATACACCAAAATGATTCATCATCCCTGAAAAATTTCTCCTATCTGTATTATTGTCTATTGGCAAAGCATATCAGTTTTGATCTTTGTTTAATCGGTTCCCCTTCAAACTAGATCTTTATTAATAATACACAAATCCAGTACTCTACCAATGAACTTTGATATCAAAGGAAAGATACTTGTACTTAAAAATACTGACTGAAAAATTAAAGTTTTTGCCTATTATAGTTTACTGACATTACTGTTTTGAAAGAGAAGTACCATCTGTTGGCATTATTATAAATATATTGATGGATGCAATTTAAGCTTTTTATCTGTTTATTGAAGACTTACATTTGTAAGTTTTACCAAAATTTATTTTATATTTTTATACATTCTTGTTCTCTGATTTAGCTCTATTATTTGAATTCAAAAACCTGGTAGATGTTCATTGTGATTTGTAACCATCTTAGCTAAAGCTTTTTTTTTTCCTTTTATTTTCTAGGGTAGAGAAGAAGGTGCTGAAATTGAACCTTGGGAAGACCCGCAATTTCCCGTGTACCATGTCACAGATCGATATGGTTTTATTCAGTAAGTATCATTACTAGACATGTTCTAAATTTTCTTCCATTCCAAATATTACTTTCTTTAATGGTAGATATATGTAGAAGTTACAAAGCTCATAGTCTTCAATACATATTTAATAAAAACATTTATATTCTAAAGAGGATAAACCAATGAAAAGGCAATTTGAATCACACTTTGTCAAAATCTGTTTGGGATTTTTCTTCTTTTTTTTATATAAATAACTTTGTAACCATAAAAAGGAATTTTAAAATTACCCAGAATTCATTTTTAATCAATGAAAATTGTCATTAAACCAGAAAAATATTTTGAAGATACCATATGTCTAAAGCAGTGATTCTCAAATTTTGTGTATGTTAGGGGAAGGGGGTCATGAGGACAAATTTCAAGTATTAAAGTAAGAATTTTAGTCAGAAGAGGAACTGTATAAGAATTTCTGTTATATATAAGTAAAAAAAAAAAAAAAAACTAGATTACAATTCAAAATGACTAAGGAATTTGAGGAAACCTGGAATTAATGTGAGGAAAGTGACAATATAATTAGAACCATTAGTATAAAGCTAAGTTGAATATATTTATAATATTGTTGTGTCAACAAAGATTACTTTTCCAAATAAAATATTATAATAGTCATTTTACTGATTTTTTTTTCTCTCTCAAATATTATAAAGGTTCTTGCTTTCAGTTTTAAAACATATTTTAAATAACTGTTCACAAAAATTAGCACAGGTATGTGTAAAGATTTCCAGAATGTTTTTCTTTTAATGAATAGGCTGAATACACAATTGGAATTTTTTTTTTTTTTTTTCAAAATAAATAAAACTCTAGAAAATTTTGCACACACATTTCTATTTCTACATGATGTTAGCTCATGTAACTCCAAGGTTTGGCTGATCTTGTTTTTATGTATATATGTTGCCTTTGTTTTGTTTTGACTTATCCATATAATGGCTTTACTGAAGGTGTAAAACCCAAATGAGAAATGAGATTCTGTATTTATTCTGTATTTATATATATATATATATATATATATATATATATATATATATATATATATATATGGTGCAAGTAATAGGTAAAGAGCTTTGTTTGAAAGAATCTCTCTGGAAATTTCATATATGTCAGGCCAATATGAATTTTATCTTGCTTAGCAATGAAAGAATTGGTGGGCAATCCAGAGAATAAAATATAGAATTTTCTTTCATATGCATTGCTGTGTGGTTTACCCTAACCAATTATTCCAATCAGCATTGGTACCACTCGATGTGCAGGTAATGTAACGGTTATCACCGTGGAAAGTGGAATCGGCAAACTGCATTCAAATTCGGAGCTAATTTTAGCATTTACTTTTGCACAAATGCCTTGAATGTCTCTTCTCTCCTCATCTATGGGTTAAATAACAGGGTAGACTTTGCTATCCCACCTTGATTGGCAACCAGTTTAAGAAATAATATCTCTGAATTCCAAACTGGGAATGGAAAACCACTCTATCATTCCAAAGAATACAAAGAAATTCACAGATGATAAAGAAAAATCTCTGGTGTCCTGATTGCAAACATCTTGAAGGGATATGACATTAAAAAGAAAAAATTACCAGTATTATTTGGTTTGCCCTATAGAGGAAAACAACTTCCTTTTTCTCTGACATTGGTAATAGAATGGATTGGTCAAAACATGGCTAACAATAAAAGAATGAGATCAGAAGAGAGAAAAAAAATCTAGAATAAACTATTATATAATTTTTATTATTTTTTAGTCTACTTTTCTTTTTTTATCTTAAATATTCTACCAACTTCCTTGCTGTGCACAATCCCCCCTCAAGGTCACTTTGTAATTTATTAATTCATGAACTGAAATATTGGATATGAACAATTTTCTTTTCATATTATAACAAGGTTGTACAAAATATGACCCATGGACCATATTGACCCAAGAGACTACCCAATGTGGCCTGCAAGGTGTTTTCAAACTAGTAAATTTCTTGTGTTCATCAAAATATATTTGGTGACTGATTGTGTATGAAAGATTCAGTTTTCAACCAATATTTCACCGTTTTTGTATTTAATTAATCCTTTTGTGTTGACTCTCCATTAGAAAAGAAAAGATTTCCCTCTGTCTATATATCTGTTTCTATCACACTCATACTTAATAATTTACTCTAAAAATAATTTACTCTTGCAATCTGCGGATAATTTTCTATGATCATTGTAGCCCTTCACTTTTTTAAATTGTGCAGGCCTGCTCGAGAGGGTCACTTATAGATAAGCCAGTAAATGAAACAATGCTTTCATTATGCTAGTCATTTTGGTTAAATTAGTAAATTAGATTCAATTTTCTTTAAATAGAATAGTCTTTGCATCAGTACAATGCTGTGTTGTTTGGTCTTTTCTGCTTTGTACATGACTCCTGGGCTCACATTATATTTTGGAGATTCCCACAGTTTGGCTAGCAAAGCTTTGTTTGGAACATCTGTGAAGCACAATGGTGCTGTATGCAAGCACACGGGAAGGATGGACCTTCCAAATAAGGTGGATTGAGGAAAAATAGCTGTTAAACAATGACAAGGTTTATTAATGACAAGGTTTCAGAAGCAATTGGACTCTTCTCATTGGCTTTAATAAGAACCATAACTATGGCCTTTCAGTCTGCATATCCTCTACAAACGTGTAGTGGCAAGAAGGGCAGGGTTCATTTAACTATTGGCCTGAAATCTCCTAAGTTTAGGGAAAGCAAGAATGCATTCATGTTATTTCCAGTCTATAGGTGGTTGCAAGATACTTCTCTCAACTAACTTCTAGATAAACATATAAAACCTGTTTTGTGATCTACTTTTATATTTTATGTTGGTGGGGGTGTTGTTTAGTTTAGTAGTTTTAGCTGTTTAATATTTGATTGAAGCCAAAATGTTATCATCCATGAGAAATCAACATCTTTATAAATATTTATATCCAGTAAATGGCAATTTCCTATTTTCCCAAAATGTGCCAGCACAGCCAGGCAGCAATGCTATAGTAATGCAGCAGTGAAAGTCTTAATATGGTTTAGCCTGGGGCAGGGGGGGATTTATGTTCATAAATTATATTTCTTCTCGAATACAATACTCTTCACTTTAGAATTGCAATCAATCAAATTTTAGATGTGTATTGATTCTAGAATACTTAGCATGACACATAGCTACACTTGTATTGGCACCCAATGAGGATTAAATTCATTACAATAATTGTGAGACTTTATTAATTATGGTTCTATGGTTTACTTTATTTGTATCCAGTTAAAATATATATGCTAGTTAAAATATAAGGCCATAAATGTGGCACACAAGTAAGGATTGAACTCCTTACAGGAGTAATGGTTTATAAGACTAACTTGCCAACTGTTACTTCGCAGTAAGACTAAGTACATGTAGGTAAATATTTACTAGACTTAGCTGAGCCTAGTTTTGTATAAGGTCATAATTATGAATCACCAGTGAGTATTAAACACATGTATCTATGTATTTTATGAATCTCTTTTGATACTTTGATAGATTGTTTCCCTTGGGAAAGTTTTTATCTAAAAATTTGAGACGGAAAAAAAATTACAGGTTGGCCTACTTTAAAAAGTTGGTATCGGAAAGCTGTTCAACTACATAATAAATATTGAATTGTCTCCAAAATTTAAGGATGGGAGAAAATAGCAGAAACTTTATCGTGAACTTGGTCACTTGACCAAATGAAACACTCTTCCTTTGATGACGGAAACATTTGAAAACTACTCTCAATGTATTTCTTTATACTTGTTCTTATGTCCTAATGTTTTATTCATAAACATTCATTTAGAATTATTGTCTGTGTAAAAAAGATTAAATCTAACCTTCACTGATATATTAACACACATTTTCTTTTTGGTACCATTTATAGACATCTGCTAAAAATATATCTGGAATAAAGTAATCATGTCAACCCAGTTATATCATAAATAAATTCAAGTTAAGTGTTCACTGAATTTACTATTAAAAACAGATGTTATGATTCAGGAAAGAATTTACTGTTTTCTTTTCTAACTTCTAAAGGCTAACTTGTGTACACCTTTTTATAAAATTTGGACCTGTTTAGTTTTGTTTATTTTGTTCTACAATTAATGAATACAATATAGTAACTAGCACAAATAATTTTTAAGGTCCAAATTTGAATTTAATTTTCCATTATCTTGAATCATTTTGTGAAAAGCTTAAAGGTTCCACCTCTGTCTAATTAGATATTAATTCTAGAGTTGAAGAATGTATAGTGTTAATATAACTAGAAAAAATTGAGAAACAACTGATTCATCTTCCCATTAAGTTTTTAATAAAATTATATTCTCTGTTTAAGATCCACTCATTTACAAAACAATATTTTGCAATTTTTACAGAATTATTCTTATTACTTCTGATATATATTAAATACATATATTAGTGACATTCTGTCCATCAATAATGTTTAAATTTTTGACCACGAGCAATCCTTTTTTCTGATTTTCAAAGCTTAACATACAAATTGAAAGCAGAAATTTATTGAAAGATTTCAGATGTGAAATTTCAAATTTCAGTTCTTAATCCTCAAATTTTTATTGACTTGCCAGAAATATTTAGTGTATAAAAATGACTTAAAGCTCAGTAGATTAGTTGTGGAGTAATGGTAAAGTCTGTGGACAGCAAAAAGATAAATTGAAAATTTCTTTGTATTCTGAGTTCAAAAGCAGTCAGTGCTAAATGAATTGTAATTGTTTCACTTTTAATTTTTTTTTTTTTTTTTTTTAAACCACCAGAATTTGTTGTGTGACTATATATTTAATTATTAGAATGAATGAAAATTATCACATATTGAGTAAATCTTACCCTCATAATATCAGGTTTTTTTTGTGCAGGTGGTGTAAGTATAGAAAATTTAATCAGCAGGCCAAGTCCAAATTCTAGCTGAGGCTTTTGCATTCATTTTACACCCCTACTCTTCAGAAAGTCATGAATACATCTTTCCTCCATTCCCACC